TCTATTTCAATTAGCCGTTCATCTTATTCTTATTCTGCCATTCTGTTCGGTCTTTCTCATATTGTCACTGGCGATTGAATTTCGATTTACTAGTTTGTTATATTTTCTTTTCATCATATTCCAACTACCGTTCTATCTGTCGTTCGCCACACCATTTTTTATTTAAATTCTTTCAGGTCGAATCTATCGAAATGAACTCATCCGATTATTGAGGATTACATTTCATGTTCCATGTAACGGGCGTGTTGATGTTATGATCCACGCAACGTTGCCAATTCAATGATTGCATCATATAATTATATATGCTCAACTTGTATTCTATATATCTATATTGATGTGTGGTCATTCAAAATGTATCGCTTATTCTGTTGATGTATTTCTAGTCTGTTACATTTATAATTAACCCTTAGTTTTAATGTTTGTTTCGTATTGCTATGTTCTAAAGACCGAAATAATGATAGATCTGTGGATTTTTCATGTTCTAGATTTAATAAATTAGTTCATTGTGTTAGTTGATTCGTAAAACATAAATTTCAATTTTAATACCTTGAAGAAATTTGTTCGAACGATGGTTTCCGTTTTTTTATTCAAGTCTACTTACTAGAATTATTCAAATCATTTCTTCTAAATTTTGAATAACGACAAACTAATTGGAAATTTTCAATTATTGTCCAGTTCGGGTACTGGTTTTCGTAGCCGAACACAGATGTGGAACACTGCTTGCTTTCCTTTTAAATCCGAGCTCAATTCAGTCCCCAATAGCTGTACCCGATATCCGCCTTGAATTCAACCCTAAAACCCAATAAATATTGAGAGATTCATTTACAGTCATTGTATCCGTCATAAACGAGACACATTTAAAAAATATTTTTGCTTCAGCCTTAATTTTTTTCACAAATACTCAAATTCTTGACACTAGCACGTGGATCATCGATCTTATTTGATTCGAAATATTATCACCTATCTAATTCTTTATAAAAACTTTGTCAGAACTCATTTAATATCACAAAGGAGAAAGGAAAACAATAGTATACTAATGCATTCATCACGAATTATAGAGCAAAAATTCATTGATTATATCGTGATTAAGTGAGAAGAATATTTTTAGTACTAATGTTTTATTCATATTTTTCAATAAAAAACAAAAATTTCCAATGACTATAGATTTGATCGTAGTAAAATGAATGTTGACATACGTATATAAAAGTCATAGCACTGAATTTGACCTTTCAAATAATCTTTTCTTTTATGTTCTTTATTATAGTTAGGTATTACCATTTGTATGCTCTATGAATACTTTCTATTTTGTCTCATCTATGCTAGCAAATATAATGTAGCTAGATGATATTGTCTTGTTCCATCATTAATTAATATAATATGGATGTATTATCGAATACATTTATATATCACTTGACTCAAAATCGATCAACATGAAAATGCTTCACTAAACGAATATTTTTATCTGATATAATTTTCTTCAAAGCACACCTCGATGCAAACAATTATTATAGAAGAATTCCTGTGTATGTTATCGTATCCAAAAATATGATGAGATAATATTCGAGTTGAAAAAAATAGAAGATTTTCTATTAATTAGTTTACCACAATGAACTAACTTCTTTCGTTGGAACACATTTCAACAATCTCATGATTTATCACTTCACGCTACGTTCAAACTCATTTTCTTTTCTTTAGTGTTTTATTGCCTTTCGAATAAAAAGTTAAGTCCTTGCACAAAAGCATACTTGAATATCGTTAAACTATTAATCGAACTATTGTTTAGTAAAACTTTTCATAAGCCTGAGTTACTGTTTCTAAACTTATACAAGCAAAAAAAATCACGTTTATTGTGTAGAAAAAAATCACATATAACAGTTAATCAACAAAAGCAAGTTTTGCAAGCAACGCGTAGCATTCTTTCTTGAAAAATTGATAAGTAATTAGGTTTTGTTTCCAAGCCGCAGTGAGTTCTACCATTTTCAATTGAATTTCATTTAGGTCCTGAAAAAAAAATTAACAATGCCAGATATTCGTAACAGTGCATGAAACAGAAAGTCTACAATTACATCATTGGCAATTCTTTTTTATTTCTTATTTTATATGAGACATTTAAGAGAAACTCATCGAAAGATATGAAAATGATAACTATTTTTTTGATATATGACACACTACATTAGGTGTTCATTGTCGAGATCCTATCAATGATAACATAAGGACTTTCACTATGATACATGATAATTGTTAATGTATACTTACAATTTTTTCGGCCTTTATGGTTAAGAGAATGAATAACAAGTATGTCAATTCAAAGAGATTAAATTTCAATGTGTGATAGAAATGAGCTGCATAGAAACATGTGGATTTATATACATATATCTGTAACGGCTATATTGATGGATCAGTTGTCATTTGATTAATTGATCAATTGTACGTTAGTTAATTGGAGCAGTGAAACAATCAATCAATGTATCATAATGAACGACTTGGGAATTGATCTGATCGTGATGTCGATAGATGAAATTTTCTGTTTTCATTGTTATGGACAGTTGAAGAAACCAGTTTTTTTATTCGATAAAAAAAGCATTTTGCAATATCAAAGAATTAAATATTTTTCTAGCACTAAATATTTTCTCTTTCATACGCAAAAAGAAAAGGTATTGCTTGATTGGTGAACACACCCACGAAATAGAGTATAGAACAGTTTAAGCGATATAATCTTATGAGGGTATGATCATGTCAGGGGTTAGATCACTTTCGACATATGTATTGTTCATATGGTTCGTTCTCTGAAGATGAAAATATACGAACAAAATTCAATTTGACACTTGAGATCGTGAATATTCAATGTCTCTTGATATGAAATAGTAGAGAAAAACGTAGAACTTTTCGAATCAACTATTTTATTTAGTGACTCTTTTAATGCAACGTTTGACGCCGAAACTTGGTTTTGAATACGATCGATGACCTGAAGTTTCGCTAGGATGAGATTGAGTGGTAGGAGTTTTTATTCGTGTTGAAGTATCGTTATGATGGGGTAGAGGAATCTTTCTTTTTACAGATATCATGATAAAATATACCAGTCCATGAATTTGTTTGAAATATTAAAAAAACTTTTAAACTCGTTATATTTGTATCGGCTCTTGTCATTAATTGTTGAACTGTATTAGCGATTGATGTAATGTTGTTTTCATTTTAGAACAATCTTATGTAAAAAAAATTAGAATGCTGATATTGCGCTTGATTAAATAATTAATAGCATTCTTATAATGAATAAAATAATGACGAATATTTAAAATACAGATGATAAGCGATTATCAATTCAACGTCGATACGGAGGTGGAAATATTCTAACTAGAACATTATTATTAACTGATGAAGCTTTACGTTTAATTATGTTACCACTGTATGACCAAATTTGACATTTTAATAATAGTAGTGTTGTTATAAGTTGGTGTGTGTTGTGGCCGTAAATGGCGCACAGATCCATATCCACGACTACCCAAGAAATGTTACGGATTTCGTTTGACGTCCTAGTTGTTTTTTTTAATGATGATTATTCTTAAAATTGCTCGTTGGGAATCTATCAGTTTAGATGACATCTCTTGCTTAAGTATTTTAAGTGTTTTTAAGGTATATCAATGGATAAGTTTGACATTGATTGTCTGACAAGAAAACATGAAAAAGGTTTTATTTTTCATTAAATTAAAAGGGTTTTTCTATTTGATGACAAATGCACTGATTCACATTGATTTCAAATAAAATACGAAAATGTTTTGCTTTTCTAAACGCTTTTCTAAAGAAGATGATGACTTCACTCTTTAAAAGTCCGAATTATTAACTATGAATCATTATCGTCAAGTTTTTCAACAAGAAAATCAAAACTTTTTACTTTATTTTGAAACCACAAAAGAAAAAAGTAGACGACAAATCTTCTACATGACATGACCGTTCAGTGTTTTAACAAACCATCATGCATATCTATGTTCAGCAATGTCTACGTTTTTTATTGTATTCTATCAGGTTCTTTAAACAAACCTTCAGATTTTGTTTGATGCGATACCAGTCCAACTCCAATTTTGTCAGTGTCTGCTAGAAAAAATACCACTACTTATATCATAGTGATCAAAAGAGAATGCCACTCACTTGATTTTGCTCGCAATGCCACAACCAAATGCTCAGCTTCTTGATCTCTAATTTTATTACATTCGAGATTGAGTGCCATTGTACTCTGTACGGAATAGTGGACAATGATATATGTAAGAACACGGACAGGAACCGATACTAACCGTATTACTCTGCAATGCATCAGCCAGGTGCTGTAAACCAAGATTTCCAATAAAATTATTTCTCAAATTCAGTGTTGTGAGTGTCTGTGTCAAAAAAAATGTAGATAAACATGCGTGGGAGATTAAGATAAGATCAGACTGGCCGGGTCATTTTGCAGTGTATAAATTATATGATTTAGTGGGTAGTCTTCAGAGGTTGGTCTCCACAAAACAAAATGGTGAGTTTCTATTTAAAATAATATACGTAGTTATCGATGCAGCGCTGGTAAGGGTGTGTGGGTGTGAGCGTAGAAGAGTAGAAAAAGAGCATACCCGCACTCTTACACCAGATTTTTCTTTGTGAAACCTAAATCAGGTTCTAATGAAGGGACTTGTTTATGATTCTATTTTGAATACTTGAACGGCCTTGATGATCTACAGATTAAGTAATTTGTTTGTGATCAATAGATCACTTTGAATAATTACGAACTCAAAGCTACCTGATGAGACTCTTAACCAAGATCGAAACTTGTCATGATAGCTTGTCACATCCACACCCTCAAGATAGTTTTCCGCGTCGTTCGTACTAAAACATTGCAATCAAATCAGATTTTAATTACTGTAAAAACCGCAATTTATTTCTAAAATATTTCTGAGCATAATAAAAAAAGGCAGATTTGGTTGTAAACAAACATAAAATCTCATTTATGATCTTTTATTTGTCTCAAATGGAATATAAAATTGTTTTTTAAGATTTTGAGTAAAGCTTTCAGTTGTATTCAATTGTGTGTGATTATTATTTTCTTGTAGATTGCTGATTGATCGTTCTTTAATGAAATAATCTAATGAAGTTTTTGGTTGTTTAACAAGACAATTGTTTATTTTTTGTGAAAATGTTCGTTGTAGATTCTTATTAGGAGTAACTATAAACATTTTTCTATGTAAAATAGGTGTTTCATGTTTTGGTACCGAGGAAAATTTGTTTGTTGTATTAATTTGTGTATCCATCGTTGTCATATCATTATCATGAATGGATGATGAACAACTCAGACGTCGTGTAAATTCCATTAAATTTGGCATCGTTATGATTGCTGGTGAAATATTATTTGTTTGATCAAATTCAAATCTATTTAAGAATTTATTATTAGTTTGTTGTTGAAACCGATGAGTATTTTGTAATCGTTTTTGTGATGAATTTTGAACCGTTGTCGATGGTGATGTACGTGAATTGTTCATTATTTGATCACATGATAAATGAGATAATTCATTACGAGGTGAAGGCACATGTGATGTTACTTGTTTTACATTTATATTTTGATTATTAATTGTTGGAGTATCAATTTGAGAACAATGACTTTTTATAAAAAAGACACCTGAAGAGCAAAGTGTATTTTTTTCTCGATTGAAAACACTGTTAGTTTACCTGTATTGCGAATATTTGTATCATATTCGTCGGTCTAAATATATTGAATAGTCAATAAATTATTAGCAGAATCACTACGAGATCAAAATCATATTATTTTATTCTATCTATTTAGAAAAATATTTCTTTCTACATTATTTTAGTTAATCCGACAGAAATTCAATGAGGAAATAGTCCACGTCTTAGAAAACGACATTGGTAGAACTTACAAACATACCATGAAAATTCCGAGAAATCTGTATCTTTTAAAGATTATAAAAGGTTTATTTATTTATCCAATGTATACTAATGGTGCTGAACATGTTTGTTTAATAATATTTCTTCTAGAAATCAACAGATGTTACCCAATCCAATGATCTTGCTCTAATTTCAATGCTCTCGCGACGCCCCTAATGGTCAGTAATTTTCACGCTTACATTTACCAAAAAAAGCTCAGCTATTCTTTTTTCTTTGAGACAAGAAAAAACTATCGTTACCGGTTGTTGATCATTATTGGCATTTTGTAGAGCAGAATCGCTTCTTTTCTGAAAAAGTAAGAACAATTATTTATTATCAATGCAGTATAACTTTCGAATGGTATAAACACACCCTCAAGATCTATTTTATGGACAGAAATTAGAACTGAAAAAAGTAGTTTATTAATTCGCATGATTTATGTCTAACGTTAGCGAGAGATCGAATGTAAGTTTTTGTGCATATAGAAGTCAATATAACTAATCATCTTTAGAAAAAATATATTTCTCTAATTCATTAATAGTATAACCTGATATTTTCTCTCTAAAGCTCGTTCCGTTGTAAAAATTGGTAATCCATGTCCATTTCGTCTTGCATATTTGCTTTTAAACAAAGTACCTCGTTCAGGTAACATCTGAACTGTTTGATCCATCTAAATACAAACAATATGCAAATTATCAAATGAAGTTAAGCAATGCAATGTTGTCAGCTGAAAGAAAAAACAACAACTTTCGTGCAGTAATATTTATCTGAGTAATAATCAAGTGCTTTTCGTATACGTGTGTGATATTGTTATTGAAACAAAGTGTATTTTTCTGTTAACCTGATCAGTAGCTAGTGTAAGTTTTAATTGTGAATTAATATCAATATCTGATGTAAACGGATACGATACACGTGTTTGATTTTGATTATTAAATTCATCTTTTGCCTAGTAAAAGCATTTTTTATGATAAAATTATATCACAACAATTAAAAATATAGACGAATCTACAACAATAAAGTCTCACCAATTTAAATGATGATTTTATAGATTTTGAACGTTTAGTCTAAGTATAATTATGTTATGGATTAGATTAGCAAGAAGAACATGTGATAACTACTGAATTAGACGGAGTTATTTTTTGAAAATATTTACCTGACGTTTGCGATTTAATTTTTGACTGATTTCTTCAATCGGTTTATCGGATCGTTTTTTCTTTGATTTTTTCTTTACTGTTTGTCTCTCTTTCGGATAGGCTACATCAGATAGTTCACCACCTTCGGGATCGCTGTCAGAATCGCTTGAGCTATAAAAAAGACAAGAGATTCAATTCTTAAATTTGAAATAGTCTATTTCTAAACAAGTAAAACCTTGAATCATCTTGTTCATTAATTGTTTCATGAAATTGTGTTAAGATTTCTAAACAATTCGAAACAGAATCCATTGATACTGTAAATTCCTCGTTTTTTTGTTCGTCTATAATAGCAATAGTAAAATTGAAAGAAGAGAGAAAAATATCGAAATTCACCAGGATAGAGATAAGATAATAGTTGGCGTGGAATTCTATGTCTATCTAATCTGAGAAGAACAGTTTTTGTTATATCCATAAATATTGATTCTAATCGTCTATAAATATGCATTTATTTATATTAATTAAAAGAAAAAGTTTATCTTACGTTGAATCATATAAAACGTCTAAATATTGTTTCAATGATTTGCAAATGGATTCTCCAAATTTTTCATAATCTTGTATATTAAAATGGCATGGCTTTTCTCTATAATAAATGAATAGTATTAGAAGCTGAAAAATAATTTGTTTCTTAGACAGAAACACATTGTTGTCGTCCCGAAAATTTTTAGACTGTGCTGGTTTATCTATAGAAAAAGACGGTTGAATCAATTCTTGATTCCAAAAAATGTTGAATAAACATGCGTTTTAGATCTTATTATACTTCAGCAGAGTTTATACAAATCATTTTGTTTTTTGAAAAACACCTCAATAAAATTAATATCAATAAATTACTCGTGTTCTACTTTCATACCGATTAAAAAATTTATTTACAAGGCAAAACAAAACTTACAGAATACTCGATCCAGCAAATGATGCTTCCAATGTAAAACTGTTTTTAATTAACATTTCTTTCCACATAACAACACGACCAGTTGATTCTTTACATCGATGTACATGAAATTTACAATAATCAAACGCAAACATATCGGGAGCCTAAAAATAAATTTACGCAGAAAATTCTAGATAAGTACATTAACTGATATCATCGATTTTTTTACGAATCTATCATTTCGATCTTACCGTTCTCGACATAATAAATGGTAAAACTCGAGCATATAGAAATTTCTTCATATCTGGTTGTGGCCCATCACATCCATCGCAACCGTATGCAAATACATTTGATTTTCGACTATGACCATGAAGATCACAAAAAACCAAAATCTAAACAAAATAATATTATCTTGAAATTTATTTTTTCAAGTTAAAACTGCTTACTTCTCTGCGTTGTCTTTGTAGATTTTGTATTAATTCTCTGATATGATAAATAATTGGAAATGTTTGTTTGCGTGGATGACGAAAATTACGATTCATATCTTTTCCTGTTAATGAACATCGATAATTACCAACAATGACGCCATCTGGATTCATCATAGGTACAATTTTAAAAACTAATTCAGATCGTAATTTCTAATTAGAAACACATTTAAAAGAATTATTCGAAAAGCAAATAGCATAAAATTAAATTATACTTGAGCAATTTTATCATTCGATGTTATAAATTCAAGTAGACCGCGCATCATATAACTTGAATTCGTTTCACCTGGATGTATTCGGGCAGTTAAAATAACAAATTTCTTTTTATGTAGTGGTACAGCTTAAATCAGTTCGAAGAAATTAAAAAAAATGTAAATCACATAAGTATTAGTATTGCACTCACATTCATCTGTCACAGTGATTATAAAACACGAATTTCCTGCTTGTGATTCACATAATATATCTCGACGAAATATTTCACGTGGCCGTATCGTTGATAAATATTCTAAATCATCTTTTAGATCTGTGAATGTATACGGATAACAGTGAGCTATGTAACATGTATCACCAGAATGTGGAAATTCCTAAGATAAATTTTACATAGTTAAAAATTAGTTCGTTCGTTTTTTTTGTTTGTTCACATACAAATTGAAAATCAAGTTCATAATAATTAATATCTCGTTCGAGTAATGGATTGTGTGTACGTTGTTTGTATTCGGAATAACTAATATGATGACCGACACGATACCAACTGCGGCATTCTCTTTTTGCATCAACTTCAGAGAATAGAAGAATTTGCATGCCTATTAAATTAATTAATTTTTAAATATTTATATTTTAATCTTTAGAAACAACGACTAAACTAATGTTAATTGGATTTTTTAAATGGCCAAGACTTTTATAATATCTATCATCGAGTAGGAAGTTTGATCAAAATTTATTTATGAATTCTCCTGCTTATCAATCTCTATTGTAGAAAAAAAAATGCTGATTGATAAATAAATCAATAATCAAAATATTATGCTGCAGCTCTCCTTATGAAAATAAATCCTTTTAACAGAATACTATAACAAATGTAATAGAGAACAAGGCGTCCTATGTCGAAAGAAAATAAAGATAGTGAAGCAGTGTTTTGGGAGATGACTTTTAACATTTACACGTATTTACCATCATTATATAAACTACTTTTTTTCATTAGATTAATAATTCGAAACCGATAGGTTACATTTGCAATCATATTTTGTGCACGAAAATAATACCATTGTGTGTGTCTTCGAGTGTAAAGATCGGTTCGAAGAACAAGTTCATATTCAAATTGCCCTCTAAATAAATTACAAGTGTATTATTGAAAATTTAATCTGTTAGTCGTTTTTTAGCACTTACACACGTCTTACTTGCCGCAAGTTTCCACCTTCAAATCGTGATTCAAATATTAATTGAGGACATTGTTGATCATTGTCGCATTGTTTTATTAGTTGATTTCGAAGTGATCTATCCATATCATAAACAATAACAGGATGTTTTAATATATCTTTATATTTCGATATAGCTGGTTGATTATCATAAGTTTGTCGATTATTATTTGTTTCTAAAAAATGATAATATTCTTTTGAGTTTGTTTTCTTTGATGTTCGAGATAAATGTAAAAGCGTTGGATATTTTATAGGATATTCTGTCGGCCAAAATGGGCCTAACTGATTTACAAATATCTTCCACGACGAAAGAAATGGTATGGATTGATTACGTAAAAATCGCTTAGTTGACTTAATAAAAAATCCATATTGATCATTATTGTTGTAGCAATCTTCTCGAAAATTAATTGATTGGCCACTATACATTTTATTGTACTTAATGAAATGAATCTACTTTCAATTTCTTTTTTCTTTTGATCAAACACAAAAGAAATCATCAAACTCAAAAACAAATACTATATTCTTTTCTTACTTGACATTGTTGGCGATAAGTAAAATTCTTTTGGAGTCAATTCACGACTAAGTAATTTCGGTGTCGGATGAAGAATTCGATAAGTTTCTGGCCAAAACGGACCATTATCATCAATATTAATGCCATATTTATTCGTATAATTATTTGAATCGTCACCATTTAAGAATTGTTGATCGGATATATTCAAAAGAGTAGCTTTATTAGACTTAATAATACTATTACCAAGCAAAATTGACGAGTTACTGTTGATTGAAACTACTGGCGATGGGTTAGTCGTATGTTTGTCCAAATACATCGATGGATTCATGTAATTTTGATCATCTGTTTGTCGAAGAAATTCTCTTAGAGGACGATAACTATGATAAGAATTTAAATAAAATGGTTTATTTGAAATTTCGTTCATTGATTGTCGACAAAGTGAAAAATCATTTTGTGATTCTGAAATCGGTTTAGATTTAACTGGATGAAGAACATTATCATTGCGACGATCAATTTCCGACAATGCATCGACAGTTTCTTGATGTTTAATTAATGAAGATTGCCCAGTACTAGTTATTGATGAAGAAAAATAAATGTAGCAGTCAAATTAATGATTTGTTTTGCATTATCTTCTTCAATGATTCTAAACTCGTTGGCGGCTTAATTATTATTTAGATTTAAATTAAGATTTCTAATATTCTTAGGAATTGATTTCAGGCTAATAAGTTTTTTCCACTAAGTTATTTTTAATTTTATCACTTTTATGGTATGAAAAATAATTCTCTAATGTTTGTTTGTTTATTCATCGGCAACAGAATCCTTTTCAAATTAAAAAAAATATTTTTCAATGCACATTTCAACAGTAAGTTCATTTATAATGGGTAGAAATATGAATTTTTATTTTTCAAAAGTTGCTCGTCTCCTCTATATTTACACTAACAAATGATCAATAATGCAGAAAAATCTATTCTATACGAGAAAATTGAGTTTACGCCTTACTCGTGATATTGTCCTTTCAATTTAGCCGCACGTTCTTGTCGATCAGTTTCTTCTAGAAGTTCTTGTACTTGCCGCTGAAGATCTTCTTCTAATTGTCTATGAATATTTGCTCGCCATTGTTCATAGGAACTTGTACCTAATTTAAAACCGATATTTAAATGAAAAAAACAAAAAAAATTCTCTACTGTGTTTCACATTCAAAGGTCTGTCACTATTTATAGTACTATTCGAAGATGGAAGAATTCGAGGTAATTTAAACGTTGATATTTCCATTTATTGATTGAAAATTTGTCGTCGCGAGCTGTGATGTTTTTCCAACACGCATAAAAGCGAATATGCACATGTGACAAAAGGTTTTCTTCTTCACTATTCAATTATTAACACTTGAATTTCGTGTTTTTTTTTAAATACATATGTGTACCATCAAGCAAAAAAGATTGAATTGTTTTTTTCATTGCAAAAAATAAAATTTAAAGTAGTTGTTTTAAAGTGAACGAAACTGATTTCTGTTAAATGACGAAAATTTTTTCAACAAAAATATAAAATTATATGTATCGTATAAAATATTGTTGAACATTGTCTTTAATCGTTTATCTGTTAGTTTTTATTTGAAGAATATTTAGTTAACTATACTGTAAAACCTATTCAGTAGCAATGTTTCTTTTTTACTTTGTAAACGTTTGAAGAAGAGTTGTTTCATATGTTCAGAGCGATTTATTTCGGTATTCCCATGCCGATTTGTTCTTAGATCTATTTTTGGCAACGTTAACGAGCAACATGAATTTTGATTTGATACCATCTAGTTTTAATTTTTCTCGTCTGCTCAACGATAATATGCGGTGAATAGTAGTTTAAGGCAAGTAGAAAAACGTCTCTTTTCTTTTATACTCTCAATATTGAGAAGAGAAGTGAGTTTTAACTCAAATGAACAGTTACGTCATTGCTATTATTCTTGCGTTTGAATTGAGCTTCTGTTTATTTTGTTTCATCAACAAGTGTATCATTATTCGAGCTATGATTTCATTCTTTTTTCTTTCTCTCTCTCTTCGACTGATGAAAAGAACAAGTCATCAGAGACTTTTTTCAAGTATTTCGAACAATATTCCTACTAAGATCGTCTATATATTCATCGTTTTTCATTTTGACTTAATACTTTATATAAAATAATTTTTTATCTTAATAAAATAGAAATAGAACAGATAGAATAAATTTAATGTACATTTAATTAATGAAACGAGAGAAGAGACACACATATGTGCAAAGCAACTATCATGATTAATTGAGTCAAATCACATCGAAGTTTGAGATGCAGATGAATAGTACTGAAATAAATGATTTTGAAATGATTGCGGTATATGATTGCGTTTAATGAAAACAAGTTTTGTATCTTCAACTTCACAATCGATTTTTATCATTGGAAAATGATTCGCCGGAATTCGAATTGTTTCTAAATGAACAAAAATATTCAATGATTTATTTGTTTAAAATAAATTACTATTCAAGTTTGTAATCGATGCTGGTATAATGAGAGACATTTTTGGTCGTTGAGTTTGATTTTGAACTGTCGACGGAAGAATAAGATGATCCTAAAAAAAATTCTTCATTTATTTAAATATTTAAATAGAACAAAAGTTTTACCCGTTTAAATGACACAAAATAAAGTGTATCATTTTTTCGATCAATTGTATGAATAAAATCATTTAGATCAGCTTCGTGAGTTTCGTATGGTTGAATTTGACCTTTAATTTCTGATTTTGTTTGTCGTGCAACTTTTCTTGATACATGTTGTAGAGATCCAATAGACGAGTCAGGTTTTGTTGGTACAATTGAATTTGATGATAAACTGAGAGATTTAGAATCGGGAAGAATCACCGATTCTTTTTCATTATGATCTTGAACCAACGAATGAAGATCTCGGTTAATTCTAAACAAACATTAAAATAATTATTGTTTGAGTGATACGAAATTAGTCTCAACTAGAATTATTAAAGATTGATCGCAAACAGTATGTGATCGAGATGTACAGGTATGATCCCGTAGTATTTCTTTTCAGTAAATGAATTCCTTGTTCGAAACACATCTCTTACAGAGGGGGGAATGAAAATTCTAGTACTACTAAAAAGCATTTACCTTTGTGAATGTGTTTTATTAATGTAAGCTACACATTGTATATACGGGTAAGAAGGTATACTTGAAGGATTATTGTTATAATTTTTATCGGATCTATAATCATCTTCACTATTAGTTAGATATGAATTTTCATTATTAGTACGACGATCGCTAAGTATTGTTCGACCTGGAATAATTGCTCCTTCATTGTTATATAAAGCCATTGAACCTGATGGATTATTTACATTTGGTGCAAGTGATCTAAATCGAGACAGTAGATTATAGAGAAATTAATAAAAGAAAATATTTAATTTACTTGAGTGTAAATATATTAAAAGCAACCAATAGAAAAATACCCATAACAATAAGAGGTTTTTGTGGTTGCATTGTTGGATTATTGCCAGGTTTGTATTTTCTTAAAAGCTTATTCTATTAAATAGAATAATATATATGATTTTTTTTTCATTCAAATAATAAAACAAACCTCCATTTCTAACGTCTGAATGCGAGTTAATAATTTCGAATTTTCTCTTTTTAAGTGTTCATTTTCATCTGTTAACCGATTAACTTTAACATCGAGACTTTCCATTAACTATTGAAAGAAAAATAAATGAATAAACAAATAAGTTTTAAAATAATAACAAACTTCTTTTCGTCGTTGGCGTGATAGTGATGCTGATTCACGATTCTTTATCATTCGAAGATGTTTTTTCAATGATTCTTCCTAAAGCAAAACATAAGTTAAAATTAATTTAATAATTTTTATTTACGCTCATATTTTTATATTGAAGTTTAAGTTGATCAAGTGTAAGTGTTGATTTTCCGGTTGTTTGTTGATAATGTGTTGGACTATCCGAACGACGTCGTTTACTTGGTACTATTGTTATTGAATTAGGTTGTTCAGTTACTAATGGCATTTTTATCACCGGTACATTAGTTAGTGTTATTGGTTTTGATGTTTTAATTATTCTTATATTTGAATTAACATTTATCGGTTCAAGTTTAATAGATTGAACTTCATTATATTGTGTATTTGTGTAAGTTTGAACTTTAATACAATTTGTTATTGAAGGGATTTCTGACGGAGGTGATGACTAATGAAATATTATTTCAAATTTTGAATCATATTTGTTCCTCTATGAATCAGACTTACTATTTGTTGTAATGCTTCTTGATCTGGTTGTACTGAAAAATCAATATCGGAAAATAGATTTTCAAAAGTTGAATTGTCACCAGGTATGAAAGGATTCTAAATTAATAGACATAGAAAAACCAAATCATAAATCAAGTTTTTTTTTCTTACTTTTCCATTAAATAGATCTGAAAAATGATTAAATTCATCATTGGGATCATTTGATAATGGACTTTCCATATTCAATGGGAAAATGTCTAAAACATAATAAGAAATAGTTACTTCGTTTGGTTTTAATTAATTAAATTTATTCACCAAGACTATCCAAATCAATTACGGTACTGTCTAATCCCATAGACATCGAAGGTGTGCTGGCTATTCCACTATCCGATTCATTTTCTGGTGATGTCTATTAAAAAGTAAAACGTGAGAAAAAAATTATTTCAAACGGCACAATCATTCATACTGTGTTACTAGAAAGTGTATCAATGCTTTCTAAACCATCAAGAAATGTATTGTAATCAAACTCGTAAGTGTTCATTGTTGAATTATTTTTGAATTTATTTTAAAAGATATATTAAACTATATAAAAACAAATTATTGTTTATTGTGATTTGTAAATATAAATTAGTAAAGTGGATCATAATTTAATCGAAGATCATCGTATTTTTTGGCGTATTTTACTGTAAAGAAATGTTGGAAAAAATATATATTATATTTGACAAAATAAATCGTCTGGTGCAATGTATAGAGAAACCAGAAGCATCCACGTCATATTGCGAAAGCAAATATTTGATTGGTTGAGGAAGTAATGAGAAGTGAAACTGAGAATTGTGACTCATACTCTTAAGATAGATGGCAGCTGTTTATGTACATGAAAATATAATGTGGTAGACGGTATTTCGAGCCTCATCTGAGATTGAAAAACAAAAGTCATAGATTTTCAAATTGTCTAAATAGAACGAGAATGAGAAAATAAATCAGTTGTCGTGCAAATGGATAATACAATCATATAGAAATGTTTGTCTTGCTTACTGTTTAAGAAAAAAATCAACACTTTCATTTTCAAATTAGTATGCTTAGTTTTTTCTGCTTTGATGACATATTGATTTTATTCAGTTCTTATTCGAGTTCTCAGGATAAAAACTAGTTCTTAGCATTGGTAATTTCATGAAACAATCAGATATGAAAACATATGATGGTAATTAGTTGAATTTGCTGAGGTTGTGCTTCTTGCTTAACCAATAATTGTTGGATAATATGCATCGAGATTGTATCATTTGGTTTACGGATTGAAACAAGAAAAAAAACAATGACAAATTTTCTATGTCGAGCTCGTATCTTCCAGCCAGTTGGCGATGAATAAAATGAAAGCAAATAAATTGATATTTGTCTTTACAGTTCTTTCCAACTCTTCTCATAATACGTTGGTGTCTGTGATTTTTCTATGATAAATTAAAGTTACGATTTATTACTCAAAATTATGTGTTACATGAAATATAATTTAATTCATACATCATTGAAAAAGTATCTAGTGACATTATGAAGATTGCATCTGAGGAGTGTTTCTACTATGATTAAACACCGTTAAGTAGTTTTAATGTAATTTTGAATTTTCCATTTCTTCCTATTTCCAATGCTAGAAATTCTAAAATAAGTATGGTACAGAATGGTGATGTTCAGCGAATTAGGAAGTTGTTCATTTTTCGAGATCAGGAATACCTTCTGCCAAAGCTGTGAATTCTAATTGACGCATCATTCTGACTATTATTTGTTGATAAATATCATTCACATAATATTCTGGGAACTGAGCTCGACAAACTTAAACAGATCTCTGGTTCAAGTTGATCGAATAATTGTTATAAAAATGATAATCGAAAAAAATGTATTTTTTTAAAATTTTAACCAACAACTATTTCATCTTATTAAAATATAATATTTTTTCATAATAGTCGTTGTTTTTTTGGTAGTCGAATAAGAAAAAGATCCTTTCGATTTATACAACTCAATTGAAATCATATTCATTTTCTATTTTTTCATTTAATGAGTTTCTTTCAGTAAACAAAGTACGGGCATTTTTGTCTGTGCTGGTCATATTCTATCGTTGCATTGAATTAGGATACTTAATTTTAAGATGTTGTTATAATAATAATTCATATCATATGCATTGTAGTTAAACTAAATTTTATGAAGTATTTTCTTTTTGTTATACTTCGTAATCCTTAAATATATCATTCTCACGACCGAGCAGTATCTTTAAAGAAAAAAAATTAGTTTTTGAATATAAAATTCTGTACATGTAATTATATTCCTTGATGAAAAATGCCTAATATCCAAATGAGATCAACAAAGCAAGTGTTACATTGATGATGTCAAATGAAAATTAACATAGTTGTCGTAAAATAAAATGAAACAGTCTGTTCAATTTTATTAGCTAGAAAAAGAAGTAGAGAGATGATATTTATTTTATGATAAATAGTCTTATTAAGACTATTTATGGGTGTGGGTGTTTACTAAATAGTGGTGCCAAATCCACAACCCACACCCCCTTCAGTATCTTGCTACTATATTCATCCTCCGTTCAACTCCCATTTGAGACAATCATGGCCAATATGAGAATAGAGTAGAAGGCAAAAACAGAGAGAGAGAAAGCGAACGATCACATCGATTTTTAGTTTTTGATAAAACACTCAAGAAATGGAATAACTTTCAATGGTTTGCATGCAAAACGAGAATTAAACAGCAGAAAACATTGAATGCCATACGCAATGTTCTCGACGATGAAGTTATAGAAAATTGAATTGAAGTTCTACAGTTCCCAGAAAGAGTCGATACATCTGTTATGCATCAATCATATTCATAAGAAAAATAAATAAGTCAAGGTCTGAATGTGAAATTTCGGAAAGGGATCATTTTTGAAAAACATGGAATCGTTAAGCGATGGAAATGGTTCGCACACCAGAATGACTTACACTAACCATACCAAATCCTCACGTTGAGGTTAATTATCTTTGAAACTATGCCTTCACAATGTATTCTAGCTGCTTGTAATAGAGTATAAGTTCGTGCTTTTCTATATCACTAAGATCTCTAGATGGGTTAATGTTGGGCGCAAAGGGGAATATAAATATGCATTCACACCCGTATCCTCAAGAAGTTTTAGAATTGACTTGTTCGCTGAAATAATTCAAAGCTTTAAGAGAAAATATAATCTTCATTGCACACTATGGTGAGTTCATTTTGGAAAAAAATCAGTAAATGGTTTAATTTGAACAAAAACTGTTACGTATATCAATAGCTTTCTTCCACATTGCTAATGCTTTTAAATGATCGCGAAGGAACAGATAAGCAAACGCAATATTATCGAATAACGTCGGCAACTGCCGAGGAAAACGATGCCATGAAGGTGGTTCTTCCAGAAATGATTTTTTTGCCTCTAAAAGATTTGTCAAGGCTCCTTGAAAATCATTATTCTTCATAAGATATAAACCAACTTTATATAATAAATCGCCACGTTGTATAGGTGTAAGATTAGTTTCATTCTCTAATTGGTTTTTACATGTTTCGAATATCTTTTTGCCTAATTCTAATGTTGATATATGATACTGGTTGTAATCGATTTCTTTTGCTTGTTCTTCATAGACAGAAACTTCTTGAAAATTTCTTTTTTTCTTAAGTATACCAATGATATTTCGATAAATATTTGGTAAAGAAGGAATATCTTGATAATTTGCAATTTTCAATGCTTCTTGATAACACGATAATGCGTTGTCTTCATTCTTGTCTTTATTCTCAACATCACCAATGTGATTAAAAAGTTCACTTGCTAATAAATCAGTTTCATCTAAGCATGACAATACAATACCAATATAAATACGAGCCGTATCATATTCAGATAAATGAGAATAAAGATAATCAATGATTAAATAGAGAACTTTCGATTCAGGACTGTCAATTGAAAACTTTCCCACTGAAATACCTTGCTCATAAAATTGAATTGCTTGCTTATAAAAACCTAAATTACTAAAGGAAAAAGCAACATGAATATATATCATAGTTGTAGGATTATTATTTAACGAAAAGTTTTGTCCTGTTAACATAGAATAATACAGATCAATCATATTAAAGTCATCTGTTTTCATAAATGAATGAAGCTGAATACAGGGAAAGTTGATATATTGTTGAAAATCTGAAGCCAGTTTTTCCATATGTTTCGATATTTCCTCGTGTAGAGTAAGTTTAATGAACCAAGTTGAATCAGTTTCTTGTTCCACAGAATCAATAGAGAAAACAGTTCCAACAAAGAATAAAATTTCTTGTTCTCCTGGAATTGTACTTAAATGAGAAATATCAATAAATTGTTTGGATGTAGTAGAAGTTTGATTTTGTAAGTCAATTTTTAAAATCACAGCATGTGCAGCTCCAAGAATAAAGTGACGAGCAACGTCTTCATCACGTGTTGTTGTTGATATGATTGTATTCATTGAAATCAAACGTCCAATATTTGATTGCTAAGCCTTAAGAGCGTTTTCATTAAGAATTTGTCCTCGATAAACAAACGAAGGGCTATCTTGTTGTTCTTTTGATAAATCTTGAAATTTTTTATATAACAAAATAATATAATATTGAAACTTGCATATTAAGTCAATATTTCTTGTACGGAATGCTTTATTTAAAAGTCGATATAAAAATGAATCTTTCGTATACCATTGTAATATATTGTCACCTGAACAATTCTGACCAAAATCATTGATTCTGTCGATTTCTCTTTGATCATGCTGATATTCCAATCGACATTGTTCTAACATATCTTCCTTTAATTTTCCCATATGAACCGTTGACGGTTTTATCAGATAATGAAAAAAAATTTGATTCCACAAGAACATTAATGTATTTCCATGTAAACTCGTTAAAGACTGTTCGATTTTTATTTCATTTAATGAAGAAATACTTATTGATAAATCGCTTCTATGTGTTAACAATATATCTTTACGTACTCGCTCGATTAAGCTATTGATATCTTTGAATATAGCAACTAATTTTGGATGATGTTCTTTTTCAAATTGCGTATTTTGATGATTTCTGTCGAAAACATAAATTGACTGAATTTGAATCAAATTTTCAAAAGCCGATAGAGATTCGAACTCTGTCAATATGAGAAGAATTTTCCCTTCACTTTTAGATGTTTCTATATAGTTGTGAGCAGTTTCATTTGAATCAAATTTCATGAAATAATCAGCAAAGTTATTTAATTCATTCGGTGCATCATTTGAAGAAGTCCAAACAACGATAAAATCATCAGGATTTTGTATCTCATTTAATACTGTTGAGGATAAGTGCAAGTTATTCATTTGTTTTCTTTAACAAGAACAAATAGTTTTATCTTCAAGAACCTGAGGGTGTGAGTGTCAGTGTGACATGACAATGAATACCAAGGCTCACATACACACACAATAATTATCACTGATGTCTTCTCATATATGTAGGTAGACTGCTTGTGTTTATCATGCTATGAAGGAGGTAGATGCAATTTCACTAAAGCTATACGAATTTAGTATCAGAATGATCAGCTGGTTTTTCTGCGACGTTCTGTGCATTTTTTCGATACTATCTATGATGAAAAGGAAAGTGGGCCGCTTTAGCAACTTATGCACCACCGCCCTTTAAATTAGAAAGGCGTTTTCAAGATAAATTTAGCAAATTTTGAAGATACCGTCTTTGCATATGTCAATTCTCATTATTTGACAAGATGAATGATTCTAAACTATTGTAGAATACTTGATACTGGCGTCAATAATATTATTTAATCTCATTCACATAAACAAATCTGGTTTTCTGTTTATTTCCCTCAGCTATAACTTTAAGAGTATATCTTTCCATACAAAGGTGGTCTATTTTTTGAAGACTCATTACTGTAGTTGATAGACTTCCAAGTCCATCAAAATTCCATCTTTTTCCCCATCACAATCATCTCCACTTTCTACCGATACTTCTCCGTATCCCTCTTTGAATATTCCATTTCGCAATTCTCCATGATAAATGGTTGAGGCAAACTTGTTTTTAGTTTAAATGCATGAAGATTATATTAAGCATATTTTCCGGATGATTGAATACGGTCACCAGATACGAGCCGTATACAGCCGTGAGCAAACCGTTTATGACCGTAAGCATCTGTACCCATGTAATAAAAACCGCATGAAAATCGGCGGTTAACCGCGGTTTTACCGGTCCGGTTACCGGCTCCCATTACCGCGGTAAACCGGTGTTTTTTCCGGTAAAGCCGCGGTAAGTCTGTGGTTTTGTCCAGTAAACCGGAGTAAACTGGCATTTTTTTCTGAATTAGTCCCATTCGTTTGTAATACAGTAGCTGTTCCGTTTCTCTCTGAATAAGAATTTATAGTTCAATTATATAACTATTAGTTCAATTACTTTTATTTCGAAACAAAAAAAGATAAGATACATAGACAACAATAAAAAATAAAACAATGTCGATTTCAAGTTTTTGATTGTTCGTTAGTACTGATTTTGATGCTTGTGCTTTGACTTGCAGGTAAATTATTATTGGACGAATTATCTAAATAGATAGGTATTCAAATTAAGGTAAAAGCTATTTAAAAAAAGATATATATTAACTAACCTTGAATATCAGATTGACGCATTTTTGCCACTTTCTTTTTAGCATTGCGCCGTTTTAGCAATAAACAATCATGTAGGGTAGGCCAAACTGCTTCCAGTTCCGAATGGTTGAGTCTATACATGTCTTGTACACCATCTAAAAGCAGAAAAAAATGCGAAATCATTGAATGATTAAAATTAAAATCAAGATCAAATATAAATATATAAAAATGTTTCATTCTATAGTCATTTATGTATTTCCACTAATTGGTGGCAATTTTCAGTTCTAGTTATTTAAAATGTGTTTTCATTGAATGTTTTCAATTAAACTCTGCATGAAAACTCTTAGAAGTAGTTTTAAAATCAAGGCGGATATTCAGTAAGCTTATGATTTTTTATTTCTAAATTTTTTACAAAAATATGATGCGACTCATGTTAAACTGATAAACAAATGAAACAAGAATGATAACTCTCAAATAGTTCGTACAACAATGATTAACCTAAATTGTTTGAATGAATATTGAAAATGTCTATTCTAGGTGATGTTACGAGGTCGAAGTCTTGAATGTCATTTCTGAAATTTCTTTTGAAAGCATAAAGAAAAGAAAATATTTTTATTAACTGAATTGCGACTAAAGACTCATGTTGTACTACAATATTTTAAAATAATGCACACACTGAATTCAAATGATAAAATATTTATTATGACTCTACCTTTTATTGCTTTTATACGTGGATCTTTGTCAATTGATTCTTTACGAGGATCCAGTGTTATCAGTTCATCGTTATCGATAAAGACACGATCAACAGCCTTATTGACATAATCAGTAATTTTGTTGAAAGTACATGGTATTGATAGCATATCTATTTGAACTCCGTCGGAGCGTGTGTAGCTATATCTAAAAATAATTAATATAAAATAATTAAGGAATAATATGGAAAAGCAATGTGTGCATTAGCTGAAAATTTAAAGATAAAGTATATTCAATCAGTATTTATAACATATTTTGAACAAATACTTCTTCAATAGATAGTTAAAAAAAAGATAAAATAGTTTGACATTAAGATTTTGTTCAGTAAATTATAATCTACAAAGACTTTTTTGGAATGCTTTTAACAATGAACACTCGTTTCAGACGCATTATCAAAACAATTGAAATGCAATCATTAGTAGTGATTTGCCGAAACAAAAGTATTCAACATGTGAACACATGAGATTCTTGGCTTATTAAAATGAAAATATCAGATATTCGATCCTCACTAATTCTCTTATAGATGCCTTTCTAGATTTTTCTTGAAGTTTCTGCGATCGATTTTAATTAGTTCATATACAATAAATAGACTTATATACAACGACACTTACCGAGCTTAATGATCGTTGATTTGATGATGATTCATCAGCGCCTTGTACATCAAGAATAACTGGTATCTAAAATAAAAAACCGCATTGATACAATAGAAAAATCTCGATAGAGTCATACGTTTTTTCGATTCATAGCGTTGGCTATTTTCTTTTGGTTTTTCAAAATGAATTTTAACGATTTTTCTATACGATCTTGTACAAATATAATTTGTTTTTGTTATTTCATTAAATGTTTGTTGTTGACATTCAGCTCTTTCATATAATTTGCCAATTGTGAAATATCAAGTTGTTGTTCATCAATGTTAATTGAATCAATTGAATTATCTAAAAGAAGACGCTTTGCTGCAGCAGCAGCACCGGATTTTGTAATTTTCAATGCAGATGATTTTTTCTTCTTGTTGGATGAAGTTAAACCATTAGATTTTAACACATAATCATCATTATTTTTCTCATTTTCATCCATTTCACTTTCAAACTCCGAGTTATCATCACTACTGTCATCCACTGCAGTACCTAGAATGGAAAAATATTAGCATTAAAAGGGGTGAATAAAAACTATTGTTTGAACATAAGACTTACGTTTATTCAAAGATGATTCTTTATGTACACTGTTCACCTCAGAAGAAGTTGAAAGTTGATCATGCTCATTTGAACCTATAAGTGCAGTAAATATCGTGAAAAATAATAGAATAATGAGAATACTTACAAAATTCAATCTGTCTCATTGAAGAAATTGAAGTATCTAGAGAGTAAAAATCATTAAGAATTTTTTTCCGATCAGCTATTGATAGAAGATTAAAAGATTTTTTCCGATTTATAAGGAAACAAGTTGATTAAAGTTTACGAAAGTTATGATTTAGCTAATAGGCAATACCCATGTAAAAAAAAAATAAGCGTAAAAATCAACATTTACATGATTTTCATCGATTCGCAGCTCCAATAATCGATGAAAATCTAGAAATGTAGGTTTTTTTTGATTAATTTTATGATTATAATCGACTTTTTCGTACATTTGATTCGGAATCAACGTTTTTGCATCCATTATCATCGGTTTTATTTCTGGCATCTATTAAAACCGATTAAAAATTAAAATAATCGCTCAAAGCCGCTCTTTTATTAATCGATTTGAATCAAATTTTACGAATAATCAATTTTCATCAGTGACTGATGATTTTCTTCTCGAATATAATCGATTAACAATGTTTTCAATCCAAATGAATCGATTATATTCTTTAATCGATTAAAATCTTAAATTGAAAAATCATTCACAATCTAGTTAGATTGATCATGATTTAACGGAATCATTTAGATTTTTGACTCAATTGAAGAATTTTAGTGAATATTATCAAACTAACATTCACAGACGTAGAAACAGCGATATTATAGAGTCATAAACGGTAAATTCACTCATCATATTTGTGGGGAGGGAATTCAACCAACTATAATTGTCGTGTTTTTACAAAAAGTTGTAATCACCTTGCAACAGTTGGTGATGATATTTGAATGCTGTCATTGATTATCAGTATCCCTTAATAATGATATCTAGTACATATGACATTAGAAATTATTAGTTCTAGTCAATATGTAAATGAATTTGTTGTCATTGATTCGAAGAATTCATCTTTTGGATGACTTTCTGGTTCACTTTTATCATTATAGAAACGATTTTTCAATTGATTTCTAAACGCTTAAGCTGGATGCTCTAAAGATCAATCGAAGTTACTACAGAAGCAAATACAAGAAAAATATTGAGTAGTTGTTTGAACGTTTCGGTTCCATTGATGTTACAGTTTATTTTCTTCTTTTAACAAATAAAATCAAACGATGAGGTATACATTCAACCATTTTTCGTAGTGTCTCACGAACAATGATCAAGTGTCGGTTGTCTGAAGAAGTAGGATATACCTGCCGAACTTCGAAAAAATATACTTTTTTCAACAAAAGCGCTGACTTCAATCGGAACGTAACTCCACTTAGTAGCTGTTGCGAAAAGAATATTGTGGTAAAAGAAATTCTCCGTGTCATCGATTCACAAGTGAGTGAAGTAAGATTTGCAATGTATGCGACAAGGAGATGAGGTTCACCATCATCAATGGTAAAAATTGATCGAATTTTACCAGGATACTGCACATTATCAAAGATAAAAATTATATTTGAGTCATCAGCAACTTTCCCTTCAGCATAGGTACGTGTGCATAAACGAATTCTGCCAACATGAACAGTTTGGTAATATTTGATATGTGCGAATGGGAATAAAAGACGAACTACTGAGTCATCCTCTTTGCGTAAGTGACCCAATTGGCAGTGCGTTGAATCATCACTTTTACGATGGCAAGCGAATCGAGTAAATAGATAGTTGGCAAAATTCGAATTCATAAAATTAAAATTATTCAAATGGCAATATGCTTCCTGTATCAGATGAAGATTACCTATTAATTCTTGTGCATGTCTCCTGGTGCTTTTCGTGATACGCGTCAAAAGACATCTTTTCTAGAATGACCAAAAATTCGGAAATTTAATCAAAATATTCAAACAATTTGCATACGAAGGCTCCAATATACACATTGTGCAGCGTGTCAGCCATGAAGCTACGTCCAACATCAAAATAAGACAACTCTCTCAAGATACACGGTCCGAGAATTCCCTTTTCTTCCAACCTGTGCTGCTCCATCAATGATTTTCTTTTTCGCATTGGAAATGTTTCTTCAACTGCATCCAATGTCATTGCAAAGCTTCGTACATTTCCCTCCTTGTCTGTTCTAACCATAAAACCTACAAATATTCTATTTTCTATACTTGTTGCTTTGTCAATCAGAAACCCTACCCTCTACTTCGCAACGTCCGCATCCAAATGTGGCTATAGGCTCTGGTAAAAACTGTAGCAACGCTTGAGCAGGTTTGTCACAGCATGCGCCAATGAGAAAAATACGTGCTGATGTTGAAGAATTATTATCATCTTGATATTGAAATTTAGCACCTTGCTCGAGTGTAACAAGTTCTTCAACAAGAGGACGAAAAAAAAGGCTCATCTCTGTCCGTGATGGTTTACTTGGACCTGGCCACACTCCTGCTAGAATTATATTTTCAATAGCGAACCGTCTTTTGAGAGGGAGTTCATTGATGACAAGTAAGATCGGCCATATTGTCTTTTGAGAGCCTTTATTAGGCTGAATGCGATCGACGTTTAACGTCAATGCTAAAAATGATTCTTGAATCCGGCTCTGCAGCTTTTGATGAAGAGCTCCATCACATATATCTGTCATAGACATAGCGTAACAACGACGTGTAGGTAGAATATCTTTATTGTAGTGTAGGATGCGTTCAATCTGATTTTGTATCGGAAAAGAGAAAATATAATTCGGCTTGTTTGTAGAACTGAAATGACAATTGCATTGAGAACATGAAGCACTACTTGTTGATAATTCCTGACATTCAGAACAGATGAAAGATTGAATAGGGGTTAATTGTGTTTCTGTTAGAGATTTCTTGAGACGGTACCAGCTAGACGGTACATTTGGAACATTGAATATTCGTAAAAGAGAAATAATATCATCCA